AATCATTTCTGCACATAGATTTTGTATTTATTTCTCTCCAACTTCTGAGCCAGATTATGCAGCTTTCCATGGGAACACCATGGGCCAATCCTGTTATTAAAGTAGAGCTGGTCAAAGATCTTCCCTGACAGCTAGAGAAAACGTTAAGATCCTAAGGCTCAGAGGTCCTTAGAAAGATGAGATGGCCCAATCTCACTTCCTCCAAGGGGTGCACACATTCATCCTAAAAGCTACATTGTTTAGTGGTTTAATCCTTTAAACAGATTCAGCCACCTGCTCGCTCACACCTGTGGTTACTCACAGCCCTTCCGTGAGAAACTTCTTCCTCACATCTAACCTAATTGTCCCTCAAGCTATTTTAGTAAGTCATAAAAGTACTGTCCCTTATCTCTATAGCCTGGAGTAAATTTGGCTGCAGTCATGAAGTTTAAAGGGAAATTTAACACTTCATCTCTTTCACCCCATTCTGACTATTTATTGGACTTTCTTGCTTGTTAAAAACTCATGCCATTTCTTCTTTAGACAAATTGCCTCTATTCCTAGCTCAACTGTCAAAGGTATGTTGCCAGTTAGCTGGGACAGCATTATTAATCAAATTTCCAATGCAACATACCCAGAGCATCCAGTCTTAACTCATCCATAACCACTGATTTAGGGTCACTATATAATGATCACCTAGCGAAGGTCCTGGTCCTATCTTGACTTGAATGGAAGGCATGTTATGGAACAGTCACAGTTGCGTGAGAAAGAACGAGTGAAGTCTGAGTGAGACAGGAGGGAAGGGGGCAGGGCACCGCCATTCACGGTATGACGGCAATTAACACCAAAATGGCGGAAGACTCAACTCCCAGTAGACCTTGAAGATTAAGATGGCAGGAGATTTGACTTCTAGTAGATCTTGAGCCTCATTATATGCTCATGGTAACAGATTAGCATGATAAATAACATGCCCACAGGCGCCATGACAGTCCCAAGGCTAACCATAGAAGGTCAAAGAGTGGGTGGTGGCCCAGTTCCTAGGAACTCCAGCCCCTTCCCCAGGGTAGCTGAAATAGTCCTCCCAGTTGTAGGCGTGGAGCGACTGAGCCCATAAAAACTGGCGACACCATGCCTCGTGGCCACTCTTTTTCACTCCCTCCTCTTCGGAGACTGCCCTATACTCTGTTTATGGAGTGTGTACCAATTTTATTTTAACCTGAGCATCCAAATCCCACACCGCCTTCCTTGCCTTTCTCTCGCCTTACTCTCTAATCAGTATGCATCTCTCTAAATAAATCTACCTTTACTCAACTGTGACTCACTCTCGAATTCTTTCCTGCACGAAGCCAAGGACGCACACTTGGCGAGGCACGTCCCAGGGACTCAAACAAGACCTGGGACACAGCCCTCCACACACCCCACATCCATTTTCCCTGCATCTTAATTATGAAGGAGCTTGAAGGTCAGGTAGGGAACTTCCAATGTGATGCAGAAGCAGAGAAAGTAGCCTGCACCGATGTATTCATGATCGAGGGGAAATTCCTGGGAACTATGATTTATGACCTTAAGCTCAAGTCCACCCCTTCTTTGGAACCATACATCAGGTAATGAATATGAGCATCTGTAACCAAAAGATGGCTGAAAAAGCCTGGACTTTTCCCGTAGGGAGAGTGGAAGTCCCAAGACTGCGCCTTCCTTGCTGTTCATGTGGTCAAGTCCCAAGCACCCTCTCTCCCCGTCTTACCTTCCTGGATCCCTAGCCGTCCAGTTGGCCAGCACCAAGTCTGAGTGAGTCAGGATGGGAGGGAGCCCCACGCTCCTGGAGACTTCCACAAAGGGAAGAGCAAGGTTTCTTGGCAGAACCTTTCAGATATAAACCTGGACAATCAGCATGTTCTAGAAAGAATGCATCAGTGGAAGCAGCCTGTCTCTTATTCCAGCAACCTTGTGGTAGAGAAATGACCTGGGATAAAACTGGAATCATAGGAGTGATCCATACACACACACACCTCACTCTGGTTATATATGTGTGTCTGTGTGTATAGTCTTAGTGTTAAGAGCATATACACGTATGTGTGTATACATACGTGTATGTGTGTGAATCAGCAAGAGGTATGGGAAAGATAGAACACTTCATCAAACCCAGTAACAACTTCAAGCAAATAACCTCAAGACAGTCCCCATTCAGTCCCCAAGGTCTCTGAGGGGTGCTCTGAAGAGCATTATCCACCCCTAAACCCAGGAAAAGTACTCAGACCCCTGAGGGTGGCAGTGGGGGGCTCCAGCCACGAACGAAGCTAAATTAGCCCAGATCCGAAAGGACATTCTGACAAGCCCTGTCTCCCACTTCCATTTCCATCCCCTCCTGAGCTGGAAACAGCCGTTCAAAGAAGCCCAACTTCTGCTTTTGTTTTTCCCGAGATTTTTTGAGAGGCTTGGGACAGAACTATTTTTTAGGCAGAAGACAAGAAGAGCTTTAAAGAGTTTTCAGATTCCAACCGAAGGCCAGCTTCCCTTGGGAGGCAGGGGATGAGGAGGGCAGTGAAGAAGTGAAGCGTCTACTTTGTTGAAAAGTTAAAGGCAGAGAAACAAAGAGATGACTTGAGGTCGGGAAGCAGGGGGCTCACTGGTAGCCCGGAAAGACATGGACACACCCCTGTCATCGACTCTACCATTTCCCTGATTTAGGATTATGGTTTGGAGGGAAGGGAGTGGGAAACCCACTGGGATGTCCTATGGTGTGTACCTAGATCTCAGACTTTTCAACACCAGACTCATGACTCTGTAAAGTTAGCCATCCTGAAACTGACACATTGTAACTGACTATCCTTCAAAAACAAGAGGTTAGATATCCTGACACTTCAAAAATCTGAAGCAGCACGCTGCCTCCCTTTTCTCTCCTTTCTCACTTTCCTTCCTTTTTCTCACAGTCTCCTGGACTTACTTAAAAGATAAGATTAACCAGGCAAACAAAGTCAGCACAGGCTGTTCCCTTAAGCGTGGTACAATAAGAAGCATAACACCCTGATTTCTGGAAAACGTCCACTTACAAAAAAAAAATGAAACTAATCGTGATTCAAACTGCAGTTAGTGGAACTCAAAGATTTCATGTTCCAAGGTTCAGACTGAAACCGTAAAAAATCAGGCAAAGACTCAGAAGAGATTTAAATGAATTATTAAGACAGACCACTATTGGGAGACAGCAAGCAACATTTTAAATGAATGAGAGTAGTCTTGTAAATGGCAGTGTGTGCCTCTATGGGAAGAAGTCTACATTAGTGAAATCAGAAGGTCTGGATTGTGGCCCTGGATTTTCCACCAACTTGCTCTCTGATCTTGGACAAGGAATTTAACTTCCACAGTCCTCAACTATCTGTTAAATGGGCCGGTGCTGGTGTACTTACCTTCCAGGATTGTGAACATTGTGATTATTGATGTGTCTAAGAGCAGAAAATGCTCTAAAATATAAGTCATTAAGTTTTTTATGACGTCTCAGAACTTGCCTTCAAATGCAACTCTTCAAAATTCTTGGAAGAGGGTGGGTGCCAGAAAAAAAAAAAAAGATTCTAAAACGAATGAAAGGGCTACCAGTTCTAAAGAAAATTAACCTCCTGGCCAGAGGAAAAGAGTCTTTTATTTAAATGAGGATTTTGCCCTTCCATCAACTCATACCCAAAGGAAAGAACAAGAAATGACCCACTTTCCGGGAAAAGAGTGTAGAGGGCAAACTCAAGGTGCAGCAGACCTGTCAGATGACAAGACAGGAGTCCCCTAGGGGGAGGGGACAGCTCAGTGGTAGAGCGCAGGCTTAGCGCACACGGGGTTCTGGGTTCAATCCCCAGTCCCTTCATAAAGAAGAAAAAGGGAAAAAGGGCAGGGGTCCCTTTGTCCCTACCTCTTTGGGCTGGGTCTCTCCTTCCTGCCAGACATACCCCATGGTAATGAAGCTCAGGATCAGGTGGGCGAGGCGCTGTTCCCGGTAATCCGTGAGGAACTGGCAGCTCAGGAGAGGCATCTGTTTAAGAGAATTTCCAGAGATGAGCAGTTGCATGGGTGCCAAGGGCGCCTGGGTCTGTGGCTTGAAGGGTTCGAGTGTAAGGAAAGGGTTATATTTCAGTGAAGGGACTACAGGTTCCACGCACATCCATTTCTCCCCTCATCTTAGGACACTACAGTATAGGAGGTATTCCAGGTCATACTGTTCGCAAAGTACCCAGCCACTCCCACCCCAGCCCCCAATTTGTCCCCACGGCGGTGCCGGACTCTGGTCACCGTCGCTGAAGAGACAGCTTGGTTAGAATGTTCTAGAATAACTAAGTCCCGAGACTGAGATCACTTGTTAGACGGAGTCCCCCATAGCAACTTTTACAAGCCTGCGTCCCAAAGCACCTGCACTGAAGTGGCGTTATCTTTTAACCCTAATCACAGCCCTGCTACCCTGGGCCTTACTCCTTCTGGTTAATTCGCTGGTAAACAGAGGAGGAGTGGAGTTAGGAATTCGTCCAAATCCCTGTGGGGAGGTGGCTGAGCGCGGCCAGATGGTTGCTCGGTTTGAACACTCCCCGGGACCCTGGAGAGGTCTGCTGGCCTCTCCATGCCCGCTCCCTCCTTGTCAAAATGCATCATAGGCAGGTGTAAAGGGGGTGGTACCATGGAAAGCAACACTCTGTACACAAGTTAGTTATTACGGACAGCCCTGCCCAAGCAAATATTACGTTTCTCAGCTTAGCCTGGGCCGGCTCTGCCTGTCTCGGTTTAACATCAACAAAATTTGAGCTCCAGCTTCCCTGCACACCCCCCTCGGCTCTCCTCCATCCCCCATCCCTCCGCCAGCTCTGGACACATCCGGGCATCTTCCCAGCTGCCCCTCTCTTGGGTCCGAAGCGCTGGAAGGGGTACCCCTGGACGTCGTGTGTATCCCTTTAAGATCCAGGCTCGGAGAGCGATGGGAGGACCGAGAGGGCCTGGGACCCGGGTGTCCTCCTGCCCAGCGCGCAGGGCAGCTCACCCTGCAGCCGCCGCAGCCACCGACCCCTTCGTCCGCCGGCCGCTAGGGGGAGCCCGACTGCGCGCGTTTCGTCTTAAAAATTGGCCCCGAGGGAGAATCGCGAAAGTTCTGTGCCCTAGGCGTGTGTGCGTGCATGCGTGTGTTTGTGCCGGTTGTTAGGACTGCTGCTGAGATGCTGCCTTTTAACAGGAATCAGCCTGAGAGTCATGACTGCACTTATTTATTTCAGTACTTAAGTTAACTTCGTATTTATTTAGCTCTGACTAAAGTGGCCGAGGCGTGCTGCTAAAAGCTTCCCAAGCAGGACGGCCCTCCACCTTCACCCAAACCCACAGGACCAAACTGAGAGTCAGGGAAGGTAAGACACAGGCCCGGGGCCACAGAGCCGGGAGGGACTGAGCCACGGGGTGACCGCAGTTGTGCTGGCCGCAGCCCCGTAGAAATACATGAGAGCCGCGTGTGTCGTTTCAGTTCCTACTAGCCACGTTTTAAAAATAGCAGCAACAACAAAACAGAAATTATTTTAATAACGTGCTAAGTCGATATAGGCAACATGTTATCAACACATAATCAATATTAAAAAAATACGGGGCTATTTTGCACTCTTTTTATGGTAAGTCTTCCACATCCAGTGAGGAGCTTGTGTCAATTTGTCGCCGCCACATTTCAAGTGCACGGTAGCCACAAGTGGCTGTTGGCTACATGCAATGAAACTTTCAGGTAAAGAACTAAGGCCCGAGTTAAGAGTGTTCCTCTCGGTGAGAGGTTTTCTGGAAACTTCCTGAACATTTCGGAGTCCCTCCAAGCAAACAAACACATACATATGTATGTCTGCTTGCTTGTTTTTTATATAAGACAATTTATATGTAAATAAATATATATAAGAAATATTTTAATGGATTAAGAAAGCATTCATAATAGAATTTTTTTTTTACGAAAAAAAAAAAAACCAAGATGAAGTGGTTAGGAAGAGAGTGAGTCATACACTTACTGTTTCTCTCAGTTTAAACAATCTGATTTCATGTTTATGTTTTCTTGTTAAATGGAAAGGAGATACTTTGCAGACCCGGTTTCGCTGGATTTCATAGAACAGTTTTCTTTTGTCCTTGGCAGGAGGGAGCTGGCTTGTTTCCTGATTTTCTTACTGTTGGTTACAACCTCCCTTTATGGAAAGGGGGGAAGCTGGATTGAGAAATACTGCAATTAGAATACAAGGGCATGAGTCAATTTTCCCAATTTGGTCTCAAGGACCCTTCAGCCAGGCCAGCATCGGCTCAGCTGAATGACTACTTCCTTAGACACACATCACTTTGCTGGCACCAGCGTTGTATTATTTTTAAAATGGCTGACATTAACCTTTTTTAATTGTCTGTCTGTCCCACTGGGGTGTGAGCTTCTGGAGAAAAATGACACTTAAATATATATATATTTTTTAATGTATACAAAAATAGTAGAATGCTACTGTAAAAATACTAAATATACACATATATATGAGAAAGTGGTTTCTACTAGTCTTGATATCACTCCTTAGAGCTAATTGCTGTTGAAAGTTCAGTATTTCTACTTCTATCTGTCTAAATATCTGTAAAAATTAAACAATTATGCAATAATATTTAAAATATACACATTCAGTGTTTATATTAAATATATATATGCATCAAATAATTACTTTACATATATTATATACATACTTATAGGCATTTATATCATTATATAAATGATGCATTTATATCCATCATGTATATAATTTTATACTCTATACACCTTCCTTTTTTCTGTGAACTATATTGCGAAAGTATGTATATATTATATATACATGTACATAGAGAGGAGAGATAGATGTATACATTGTCACTTAATAGTTGTATATTGAATGGAAGTAGTACTTAAGTAAATGGAAAACTATACAACCACTTAAGTATCCAGATCCAATTACTTAAGTACCCAGATCCAGTTATTTATTAATAACTATTTAGGGGATAATATTTTTGTCATCTTTTTTCTTTTTTTGTTTATTTCACTATGAGAATTGCTGCCATGATCACCCTTGCTTAATCATCTTTGCCCTTTTGAGTGAGTATTTCTGTGAGATAAATTCATAAAAACCCATACAAATGAGATAAAATTTGCTAGATGAAAGCATACACGTATTTAAGATTTTAATGGACGGGGCCAAATTAGAAAGCTCGCACCAATTTTCTCTCTTGCTGTCAGCTTTGCTCTTCCGCAACTTAACTCCATCAGGGTAATGGTTTGTTTAATTTGTTGCCGAACCGATAGCCAAACCCAGATGCTCTGCTGTTTTCCTTTGCATTTTTTTGTTTATTCCTGACATTGAGCGTTTTTGCATGTTTATTATTATCCATCCAGACCCCTCTGTCTGTAATTTAACCATTCATGTCCCTTACCTGTCTTTGCCGGTCGATCACCTTATCGATTTGGTAGAACTCATTTTACATTCACAATCCTGAACTTTGTCTGATGCAGATGTTCTAGATTATTTCCCTAGTTTATCATTTATCTTTTAATAATTTATTTTGAATGTTATTTCAACATTATATTGCAATCAGACCCACTGCAGAGATATTTTATTGGTAAATCATCATCAACTCTTTTCACAAATAAATAAAAAAACAACATTGACCACATTTTACTTCTAAGCCACTGTGTTCTGCGTTGTAAATGACCTTGGGGACGTGAGCCCGTATTATCGCTTACAACAGGGGTATTCACAGCCCGCAAATTTGTGTAAATGAAATGGGGACTAAAAACAGAGAAACTCATTGAGGAGTTTTTACCCTAGTGGAAATGTCCTCTCCCGATCGATGACTCATCTTCCTTGGTGATACCCAGCTAACATTTTGACAGTTTCTGGCCCTCGGATGTGTTGGGAGAGATAAGTCTGAGGTTTTCCTTCTTGGAGTGAAAAAATACTGACTGAGTTTCTCAAAAACAGTGTGAGCATTTTTTGACTCTAAAACGTGATGCTGACTAATAGATTGGCCCTCTATTTCTCCACCAAATGTTTTGGAAGTGCATTTCATCCTTTTTAGTTAATGAAAGTATTCTGTGAAAGATACCACATGCGTATATATTACATACATAGACATTTATTTACAGCTTGAAGGATAAATGCAGGTAAACGCTTATTTACCCATCATTGCAGCTTAAGAAGCAGAACTTTACGAAGTTCTCTCCTTAGCCTACCAGAGACTCCCATTTGCTGAATTCTCTGTTGGTTATTTTCTTGCTATAATATTCAGAATTTCTATGTATGTGATGACTAAACAGTATGTTACTGAGTTTGGATAATTTTGAGATTCACCCACGTTACTGCATATGGTTCATTCATTTCTCCAGCGATTTCACATGTTTTTGCTTCGATAAGGGGCATTTTTAAACCCCGCAGGGCACGCAGACACCCAAGAAGGTATTTATATACACAAGTGTGGAATCCTTAGATAAGAGAGATGCGTATCTCAGTGTTTTCCTGATAATGACAAACAGATGTTCAAGGAGGTGGTACCTACTCACAGCACACGAGCCATCCAGCTGCCTCATACTCTTGCCAATAACCAGTACCGTCAGAGTTTTAAACATTTTCCAGTTTTGTGGTTGTAAAATGTTACCCCATTATAGTTTTCATTTTCGCTTTCCTGGTTATATGAAGGTTGGCATCTTTCGTATGCCATGCGATCATCTTTGCTTCCTACTCTGTCAAATGCCTGCTTGTGTCTGTTAATACGCTTTCTTGCTCTGTTGCTTGGCTTCCTTACTGATTTCCAGGACTTTATATATTCAGGATACAGATATTTTCCTGAGCTACGTGTATGACGGTAACTTCCCTCAGTTTGTCGCTCGGCTTTTCGTTTTCTGTTATGGTCTGTTTTGACAAACAGAGATCCTATTTTAATGAAATCAAGTTACCGTAAAAATATCCTAATCTTATATCATTACAAAATTCTTCCGTAGTCCAAGTGACTATTCTTTTAAATGGTCTTCACAAAGGTTTACGGTTTTGTCTTTTTCATGTAAGGTCTTAACTATTTGGGATGAAGTTATTTCTGTTTGTGATAAAAGGAGCAGATTCAACGTGTGATTTTTGCTATTGGCGTGTGGTACGTGCAAATAAAGTCACCCTAGTACCGTTATGTTCCCCACTGATCTATCATTTCATCACTATTATTTATTAAGATTTTACACTTATGTGGGTCTCTGTGTAGACTCTCTGTTAAGATGTTCGGTTCTCTTTGTGCGTTGCTGCCTTAGTGTCTCAGAAGACGGGTCTCAAGTTCTATAGTTTTAGAAGATGTCATGATAACCAATAAGGCAAATCTTCTTACCTTGATGTTAAATAATCATTATTATTTTTTGTTCTTTTGCTTTGTAACACAGCATAGCAAACGAAACACAATCTGCCATTACAACTTTGGCACACTATGCTATGTTAAAAAGAGATACAGAATTTCAGCTCCGTCATGTAACACACTTTGGCCAGGAGAGCATGTTGATTCAGACACATTATTTTAGAAATCATCTCTTATCGCACAGCCACATTCGCAGTGATTACTTAGAACTGACCATACCTTTCATTAATTTCACTCTCTGGCAATGTTTCTTAAATACTCATTTCTCTTTCCTGAGTCCTTTATTTGGATTTGTAGTCACTGTGGTGGAATCATTCCTGAGCAACTGAGACAAAGGGCTTACATGGTATAGTTTCTTACTTCTTGATTTGACTGATAATTTATTTTCTTTTGTGCTCACAGATGAATAATAAAATCTGGGTTCTAAATACTTTTTTCCCAAAATGTTAAATATCCATACTTTATCTGTCATTATACACAGATGTATCTTTATCTTATACTTTGTGTTATCGCCTGATGCTACTTTATTTGCTTGCTCAAACTGTTCCAGCTTGGGCGCTGGGAGTTAATTTAGGTTAGCATGTCCCATTGTCCCATTTGACATGACCCCATTCCCCCGCCTTTTTAATTTCTTTTGTTTGTTTGTTTGTTTTTGATGGAGGTGCTGGGGATTGAACCCAGGACCCTGTGCACGCTAAGCATGTGCTCTATCACTGAGCTATACCCTCCCCTTTTGTTTCTGACACATTTCATTTAGCAAATGTATTTAAGGTTCATCCATGCTGTTGAATAAATTGATAGCTCATTCAGTTTGGTCACTGAATAGCATTCCATTGTATGACTACAACTCAGTGTCTTGGTGCAGACTGCTGGAACGACGTGCTATAGGCTGGATGGCTTATAAACAATGGAAACTTCATTCTTCCAATTTAGGGAGCCAGAAGCCAAGATCGGGGTGCCAGCATGGTTGTGTTCCAGTGAGAACCCTCCT